GAAATTATGTTTTCCTTTCTAACCAGCTACTGGTGTTCATTGTATATTATTGTTATAAGCATTTAGTCAAAAATTTATTTCAGAATTTATTTTCCCTTTTCCTTTTTGTATATTAGAATTTGAGTTTAGTGTTTGATGTCATATGAAATTATGAAAGTTTGATCGACAAAGGAACAAGAACAGAGATGTAGATAAACCCGCTGGATTGAACAATCTCTCCTTTTGTTTAAATTAAAAAAATGTAAGTAAACAAAAATTCAAAGTAAGGATTGAATAGAGGGGAATTTCATATGCATTAACATTTTTAGTATTTATTAGAGAACTAATGAGGTAGAATATCATTAGAGATTACAACATTAGAGGGTACGCTTCCCCTGTATATAACGTTATATAGGGAGCTAAGCACTCATTTCGTTTATGAAATTATGAAATTTTGATCGTCAATGAACAGAACAGAGATGTGGATAACCATACTGGATTGAACCAATCTCTCCTTTTTGTTTGAATTAAAAAAATGTTAAATAAACAAAATTCAAAGCAAGGATTGAATAGAGGGAAATTTCATACTGTGAAAATGACATTTTAATCCTTCAAAATATGGAAAGTTACATTTGGCCTTGTTAAAACTTAAAAAATATTTCATTTGGCTCCCTCAAATTAATTGTCATAATTCCGCCCTGAGAAGGTAGCTTTCCTCTATTTATAATATCCTCCGAACTTAGATTTCTTACTCTTCACATCTATATAGAATATGAAAAGATAAGCCACATGTGATTGACTTATTTACATTAATATTGCAATTAGTCATGCTTCAAAATATATAAATGTGACTTTAAAAAACTTCTAGCTCTTGAATCAAGTACCTTTGGGCCCTTCTAAATGAATGTAATCATACATTATACCATGAAATATTGCAACAGATCTTGTCTGAGTTAAATAAATTGTATTTTTTCCATTGATAAGTACATCATTTGGCACACCAATGGTATAAAACCAATAGATCCCATGAATTCCATGCGTTGCAATTGCATTGTCCCTGCCTATTAGCCCCGTTGTGAAAAGAGGTCGTTTGGCACTTGAATCATTGAACCTCACCTTAATTATGAACAGAGTTTAAGTTAACTTCCCATTTAGTAAAACTTTGCGAGTAATAATAAGAGAGGATTTATAGCACCTGTATCTCAGCTTCAGATGCTGATGCTAAGGCTAATTGCATTGTGTAATTTCCAGTTCGAATCACAGTTTGGAGCTCGAAAGTTATTTGCCATGTGGTTGGTTCGTACGCACTTTTTCCAGTATTTCTACAATGCAAAGAACAATATATATTAGATCTAGACCAACAAGTTTTGGTCCAGAAATATTACAGTTGTCTTCAGGATTGTAATGTCTTTAATTTAAAAATTCTCAATCAACAATGAGATAAGCTACCTTGGAACATGAATAAAAAACCAATCTTGACTGCTGTTGCTGGTGCCAACATTGTATACGAGATCTTCTGTAGGATATAAGTCAGTGTAGCCTACCTTAGATATTAACAAAGAAGTTTATATGTTAAGGGAATATTGATTTACGTGCAAGGATTTTGAAACTGATAATTGTTGATGAGAGTAACTTTTCGGTTGGCTGGTCGATGAATAATTTTGTTTGTAGTGTTGGCTCTGTGTCCGCAACAAAGAACTCAGCAGCTGATCGGTCAGCATACCCTATTTCCCATATGGTTGGCCCCTTTCTAGGAGATTCATAGTTGAGGACACCTAATTTAGTATTGCTTCCTGCATTTAGAAATTAATTACCAATTAATTTTTGAAATTAAATTTACCAACTAAAGCAAAAAAAAAAAAAAAGAAGAAGAAGAAGAAGAAGAAGAAGAAGATCAATTGTATCTTGCTTCATTAGATGAAGATAGAGCAGAAGTTTTCTGGATTTTTCACCCTCCTTAATATTTCGGAAAAGGAAAAATATATAACAGAAAAAAACATAAAGAGTATTTTTTTTTTTTTTCTCTTGGTGGTAGATTATGCTTTTAAGCACACAGAGCAGTGTACAGTGCTTTAAGTATAATTTAAGTAATGCAATCCACCAATTCTTCACTCACAAACATCAAATCAAGACATTTAAACCTCCTATCTCAAACTAGACACTCAAAATTCCCCGACATACAGTTCTACATGTAACTAGCTGAACATAAGCGCAATTAACATTAGATTAGTTGTAAAATTCAGTGAGGCCAAAGAAAAGCTCCCATGGCGAAATTTCTTTTGTGCTCAACATCTCCAGTATTTTCCAATTTTTGCTTCATAGATAATTAAAAGAGATAAAGGTTATGGAGGGTTAACCTTGGTCTCAAATTGCCATGAATTTACATCTCCTGGAGCTGCCAAGCCCACATGAGCACCACTTGCCAATTTGGAATCCCCTCTAATTAACAGTAAAAAAGTTCGAATATGAAAGTGTATTAATTGTTGCAATATTCAGAAATTGTTAGTATTAATCAAAGAATAATAATAAAGAAAAAGCTTATGACATACTCATTTTGTATTGTTATTTGTCCTGAGACAGTTCCTCGTTTATCAGAATAAGGAAAATCTTCTGATTGAGTAAAATTGTATGGCCAACTTTCTGTATGGCCAACTTTCCAACTTCCACTGACATTATAATTGACATGAAAGCGTGCATATTATTGGGGAGGAAAAAAAAATTAAAAAATAAAAATTATTAATAAAGATCGTTCATTCTGCTGGTAATCAAATATTTCAATTTATTCGAAAAAATAAACCATAATGTGTTAATAATCTACCTGTCTTTTAGCATCATCCCAAAGTGGCTTTTTGATCAGCAGTTGGGTTGGAATTAAAGATAAATAAAAAAGCAGGCCTCAAAAAACATTTTCCGGGGGGTGGGGGGGGACGCTCTTCATAATTTGGTATTTGCATACTTGTCCCAGATAATGACAACTAGATAAACATTGCAGTATGCATAAAAATGATATTTAAAATATTATTTATAGAGTAATGGTATGTTTAATTTAAGCGAACATATATAACATGATTTTAGGGTTTTCATTATTAAATAAACAATCAAAATTGGTATTTTATTGAATTATGTGAAAATTTGTAAAATAAGCCTATTCTAATTTGTGCTTTTACTTCAAAAATAAATTCCTTCTTTTGGGGGTCGTTCAAGGCTAAGCCTATGTGTAATAAACTTTACGGTAAAAATAAATGGACCAAGCATAGCTGTCGAGTCTCTTGGTCTAAAGGGTACCGCGCCGTACCAGTACTGCATCAGTGGTCGGATAACCAAAATCCCAATTGCCGGATCTTGTGGATATTCCACCCATACACTATTGCACTTTGGATCCATGGAAATCTGATGACTTTGTCATCCACTAATACATTCCATATAGTCATAACATTAGGAATTCAACCCATAATACATGAAATCCATATTAATTTTAATAAGAAAGTAAAAGTTAATTAAAGAGCAAGGTCAAACTATATCGGTCTATTTACAACATATGTTTTCGTTATGTAGTTAAAAAATAGCAAATTCAAATTAAGCATGAACGTAGTTTTAGAATCACCGGGATTTGATTTCAGAATCGTTGATTTCATTTCCGTTCTCATTTAATAATCCAATTCGATAAGAATTTTCCAGTTTTATAAAGCTATTTTTTGAATTATAACTAGAAATAAATGATAATAACAATAATAATAAATAGTATTGTTAAATTTCTAAACCAATTTACCAAAGTCTTCAAATTTATCTTAAAAAGTATAATAAAATAAAAAAGCAAATTGGGATTTTTTAAAAAAAAATATTCTTTTCACGGTTGCAAATCCAAACTGCCGATTTAAAATCAAATTCGCCGATTCTCGTTTAAAAAAATGAAAAATCGAAATCGAACTGTAAATACACAGTTTCTATTACGGTTTGAAATTAAAAACCGTTTACCACAATTTGGTACTGATTTCGGCTAATTCAAATTCATTTTAAGATCGAACCATGATCGTGCTGTCCAAAACCTATACCTCTCCTTGCAATTTAGGATCGGCTGTTTTGGTCAAGAGAACAGCTTCAGGATACGCTAGAGGTTGACTGCTTTCACGATCTTGAAATGTAGGCATGATCCTTTGATCTTGAATGTAGGCATGTAAATCCCTTTGTATGTTGTCTGATATCGCCATATAGTGAAACCTAATCATTGAAAATTATAGACCTTATATATGTGTCATAAAAGCATTTCGACGTAAAAATAAGTTAGAACAAAGCTTCAGTTACTTCTCATTTTCCAATTTGAAAAAACAACCCTAAATTTGATCCAGTGCTTACGGCAGGCACCCTGCCAAACGTTCATTATAATATATCTGTTAAAATCCGGAAGCTGCCACGGCGCGGCAATATCTACGTAACAAAAAATCAATTAGACTCGGACTGGAATGATCTTCTAAACTAGTCCTAAGGATTTTAATCTTGGTTTCAATCAACATGAGACCCAATTAGTCTCCTAATATTGTTTTTTTCAGCAATTGTTACTGTTCGTCAACAGTTCTGTTTAAAACAACGGAAAATAGAAATCTGGAATAGAACTTCAGGCTCTTAATTTTGGTTTGATTCAAAATTAAAACTTTCGTGACCGATTTTTTATCCAATTACCCATTAGATGTTCAATTTTAGTTCTATATTTCTAGCTAAAACCAATGCGTAACCCTACTACCGATATATCTTTTTTCAATGGAAAAAATTATCATCGAGAAAATCATACCTTTTGTCGAACGTTTAGAGGAATGCCCTAGCATCTTAGTGGAAATATCTCCATTTTTTGTTGAACGATACTTCCACTTGGTCTTCATTTCCGTTATAGACACTAAAACTTGCTGCTTTCTAGCGTGAGATAGTGCGATTCAAGTTTAGAAGCAACATGTATATGAGTCCTCATTCTATAGTTGCTTGTTCAAGAGGCCATTTAACTTGTCAAAAAATGTAGCCCCTGGTTTGTACCAAACAATGTCCCAGTAACTGCGTTGCGAATAAAATTTTTGTTAGGACATAATTAGTGTAAGATAAAATAAAGGAATTGAATCTTGTAAAATGAAACTAATCTAATAAATAGAAAGTTCATTTTATTAATATTGTCAGATACTATTGAGATTTTTTTTCCTTGATATTAAAAAGACAGATTTCCATCCCACTAAGTTAGTACTAAATTTGGATCACGTCCGACTGTCAACTAATGGATAAAGCATTTTCAGCCAGTATTTTCTCTATCCATAAAATTCAAACTCTCGACCTTATTAACATATAGTAATAAAAGTTTAAAAATGCTTTAACCAAAATGAGAAGGATAAATGCTTATATATGCATACCCACGATCATCTACATCATTTTTAGGTTCCAGTATGTTCTCAACTCCATTATATTTTACTGCAAGGACAAAACCACCTGGCTTGGATAAAGTGACTTGAACAATTCCATTGTCGATCACAACCTAAAAAGAGATATCCAATTTTTATTTGTAGCCTGGTATGAAAAATAATAGGTTTTTAAGGAAAGAAAAGAAAATTAATAATTCATAGTTACAGATTCAGGCTCTTCACGCGTTTACAGATTCAGGCCTCTTCACGCAATATCAATCCAGAGGACGAGTTCGGGCGGCCAAAATATTCCTACAAAAAGGAAACGTTAACTCTTAAGAAAAAATCTAATTAAGATATGTAAAAAAATTTTTTTTAATAAAATAAGTAAATTCCTACTCTGAGAAAAACTGAGTGGAGAACAAAAACTCACTTGCATCCATTTAGTAACCATAGATGGCAGCAAATATTTCCAGTGCATGGCAAATAGAACGAGATTTCTCATATCTCAATGATAGGTGTAACCCCTTTGTAAAAAAGTGGCGGAAAACTGTCAAAGGAAGAAAATCCGCAATCACTTCATATTTTCTCTCCTCTCCTTCAAACAAGTCTATAAAATTTCGACAGAGAACTACAAAACAAAATGAGATGATCCTTGCAATTATTTAATAGAGCAATAAATAACCAATTTATGGTAATGAGCAACGCAAATTGAGAAATTAACGGCAGTAAATGGTAGTGGCCACAAATTAAAATTATAAAGTTAATTAATTTTAAAGGTTATTTGCTTACACCAAGGAGAGGATTAGCATTTATTTAGGTTTCTAATTATGGTTGGATTTTAATAACAAAGACTTTCAAGTAAAACTCGCTTAGATTAGGCTCGTACAAGTTTTATATAGGTACAAAAACTTGATCGGTTGAACTCTAGTTAAAAAGAATCAACAAAGCAGTTGCCTCTTGCAACAAGCTAATTTATCTTATGTTGATAACAAATCGGTTGAAGAGAATTAGTTGATAAAATCGAGAACAAGAAATGAATCTCATAAAATTTGTATGCAAATTTGGCTTTAATTAGAAATCATTATTGCTAAAACATTGATCGGTCGACGGTTTCAATCTACAGAACCGGACTACGGTTGATAATAAGAATCGATAGCTTTAACGCAGGTGTAAAACCCGGTGAAAATCTGAATGAACATCCGTTGAACCCAAGGTCGGCAACTATCGTGCGGTTCGAGTTCAAATTCTAAGTTTTTGTGCCTGCAAAATATGGGCTCTTAAAATTGCCCTACTGTTTTTTAGCCATTGAGCCTCTTTATTTTCTAAAACCCAAAAGTCTTTAATTTGTTAACAAATATAGAGTGCCCAACTTTAAAGTCCATTTGAAATAATAGGTTAAACTTTGTGTCAAAAATTCCGTGTTTTGAAACAAGAGGATGAATAATGTTTTAAGATCCGTTTTAGTTCTTTTAGTTCTTGAGATTAGGTTTCCATTTCGTAATCAACTACTGAGTTTAACTGATATTTATTGTTATATTGAGTGTTTTGGTAAAGATTTATTATTTCAGACATTTTTTTTTTCCTTTTTCCTTTGTGTAACGCCAGAATTATGATGTTTTATTTGAATATCGATTAAACCATTGCTCTTCACACTTTTTTTATGTAACTAATAAAGTTTCAATAACCCCAAAATGATAAAATTTGATATCAGGAAGATTGAGTATAAATTATTTAAAAACTTTTGACATTTTACATCGTTGGTCTTATATTGAGAGCCTAGACAATGGTATGAAAAAATATATATACATTTTGTTAGTGTTAGGAAATATTTTGAACATAGTATAAAATTTTTCTTTTTTCATCTTTCTAAATTTGAGCTCATTTTTTTTGCCTAATTAATTTCTTCAATTTCCACGAGCCTACCACAATTCAAGGCCCAATGAAAAACTAGCCGTGTTCCCGCGCTTCGCGTGCGGATGTTATATAATGTTTAAAAATAAAAATTTGATGTTTATTATAACAAATATTTATTTTCAAGAATCGAAATATTCAATATATTATACTTACTAATACCAAAACATAAAATGAAAATTAATTTTTAGCTCACATTCTCGCAAAACGATCAATACATTAACATATACGTATGTATTTCAAGTTTATAATGAAGCTTAAAATTCTTAATTTCTAGATTTTAATAGATTGTAAAATAATCTTTATAAATTGTTTGAATTCATTTTAAATAAATAATCTAAAATCTCAGCATAAATCCAACAAATATTAAATTTTTTTAAAAAAAATTTTCTCAAAGTTTTCCTTCATTTGGAATAGGTTGAGATGTACTGTCATCTCTCCCAGCAAACAAAACATAAACGCCAATTCTGTCACAAAATATTTCTCTATCACACATAATGACATTAGAAAACGAATTTTAATCTAATAGTTATAGAATAATTTATAAACAACATAATCAGGCCTTAGTCGATTATCGAAAACTGGAATACACTTCATAATTCCATCGTCAAACCATATTGATCAAGCTCACATCAATAAAATGCTATGAAAATAGTATTGCATTGTTTGCAAAGAATCTATTTCTTTTTGTTGAAAGTATGATTTGATTGTATTTATATTTTCATTTATATTAAAATAGGCATCCATACAAAGTATGAAGAAATGAAAATGAAGAAAATAAATATTAATGATATTGTTAATTATTTGAAAAAAGAAAGTGAAAAGTTTTTAAAATATTAATGATATTATTAATTTTATTAATTTTTAAATCCAAAGATATTATTAATGATATTAAAAGATATTATTAATGATATTAATTAAGTTGTCTATTAATTATAATAAAATAATTTTTAAAAATGTAAAAATTATTTTCAACTCAATATATTAACATTTTACCACATGAGCATTTTGACAATCTAAAATTATGCCACTTAAGTTTCTACGCTTCTCTTTTTTATACTATGCAAACTCACTTATAAAACAGCTTTGGGATGGACCAGATCCAATTCCTTGATCACCTCCAACAATCTAAGTGAAAAAAAAAGGTAATAATACAACTTGGTTCCATCTTGTTTGGTAAATATACCGGGCATTTTTAAAAGTTTAGCTATGTTAAACCATTTAGTCCTCTTTCTAAAGGGTGTTATAAAGCTATTTTTTGAATTGTAACTTGAAATAAATAATAATAATAATAATAATAATAATAATAACTTGAAGTAAATATATCAACCTGATTTTAGGTTCCATTATTTTCAATAATTTCAAAATTATATTTTATGAGTTAATGGTGAAATTTGTAGAATAATATGATTGTAATGTGGTTTTTTTTTTTTTTTTTTTTTTTTTTTTTTTTGCTTCAAAATAAATTCTTTTTTTTAACTAATAAGCTTATGTTTTATACAGTAAACTTAGGGATAAAAGAAATGGATCAGTATGAATTGTTAGATCATGTCTAAAAGGTCCATTTGTACAGAATTCTCCATTGGGTCGAATCACCCAAAATCCTATTGCCGGATTTTGTGATATCCACCCATATACTTACTATTTTTGCCTTCCAAGGAATATGATACTTGTCATCCACCGAATACATTTCATTAAGGCAATTTCAACTCACAGTGATTAATAATATTAATTTATGTATGTTTCATTAAAAAGTAAACGTTAAATAGCAAGGTTAAATTATATGTCTATTTTATTGAAACGACCTGAAAAATTATTTTCAAAAGTTTTTCATTTAAAAATTTAAATATTAATCCAACCAATAGTATTAAGGACGTCGTTATATTTAAAAATATATAAATTAATACCCTAAAATTTATTTAATAGAAATTTGATACAGACATAATTTTATTTGCTAAACTAAACCTATAACCAAAAGGAAACCAAGCAAAAATCCAAGAATTGAGCCAAATCAGTTCTAAATCGAACCAAACCGGCCCATTAACCAATTAGAAACTTCCATCAGTGCTAAAAAATCTCCATTTGTGTCCCAACTTCCCTTCTCCCTTCCCGTGAGCGTCAACCTCGGTCCCCTCCCCCATTCTCGACTCCGTTCATCGCCTGGACCAGCCGACTCCTCCTGCCACCATCATCCCTTCGCCGTCTGTCTCTCTCTTTCTCCCTTCGTCTCTATTTATGGTGAGCGTAATAACCACAGACGAGCTGCTTCACCTGCGTTTCCTTCCTCTCCGATCGACACAGCAGCTTCTTCCATCACCAGCGACACAAGCTTTAATCAACAGTGTTGGGATTAATGCTCTGATACCACTTGTTGGATATAAGTGTAGTGATAAACTCCAAGATTGATTAATAATTTATAACACCAAGAATAATAACGATAAATTTATAACACCGAAGAATAATCAACGGGAAAAGGTTCCAACCAAATTAAACTAAACACAAAAACACCAAATTATAATACCAAATATAATTGTATTAATAAGAAGTAAACATTCACAAAGCTTAAGGAAAAGATTACTTACTTGGTTTTTGCTTGGTGCTTGCTTTGTTTGCTTGGTTTTTACAAATGAGGTGAGATGTGGTATTTATAGGCATTTCCACCTCCTCAATGTACGGCTAAGATTTGTCTACAAAAATGGACGGTTTAGATTGCATGGAGAATTCTAGAACTATGTAGACATTATACAAAATATCTTTTGGGTGGAGTAATGTGGAGTATTCTAGAATGCGGGCTTGGACCTTCAACTTTGGGCTTAAGGCTTCCCAAGTCTTGGCTTATTATAGCAACCCATTTTGGTGGTGACTAAATTAATCGATGATATTTTAATACTCTCCCTCAACGATTAATTTCTCTTTCTTCATCATTCCCAATTGTTGGCGAAAATCTTCATATTTATTTTATTTGTGCTTTAAACTCTTTGTAAAAAATATCGCTGGTTGATCCTCCGTGTTGATAATATTTCATTTTAATTCTCCTTTTAGGAACCTTCTCTCTGATTAAATGATAGTGAAGCTCACGTGTTTTGTTCCGCATGAAACAAACACCGGTATTCTCACCATTTGTATAGCCGAATGATTATCACAATTAACGGAATTGGATAGTCGATGGGTTGATGCAGATCGTTCCATAAGCTATTTGACAACCAAACCACTTCCCTGAGCTTGCTGTTTCATGCTGCCCGGAACTCAGCTTCTGTTGTGGAAAGTGACACTGCGAGGTTGTCTCTTGCACGACCCAAGAGATTACTCCTGAACCAAGACTAAATTGCATAGCCTGTTGTTTCGAGCGCCGAGTGTTTCGTGATCTCCTGCATAATCA